CAGGCGCAGACGAACTCAGTGGGCGCTGCCCGCGTACTGAGCAGAGCAGACTTGGGGCGCGCGTGAGTCGGGAGCTCACAACCCACCTCCGCCTTAGTCTTTCTTTCATGGTACTTTAGATCGATTTTTAACTCACTCACAACTTTTTTCCTAGTACTGGGGAGTGAATTGAGGCCCTTTGCACTAAATTACATCCCCTAAGCCCTTTTGGTTTACTTATTTTTAAATTTTTGAGCTGGCTCTAAGTTGCAAAGTGGCCCAAGCTGAGCTCAAACTTCCAGGCCTCCTGCTTCGGCCTGGCAGAGCGCTGGGATTACAGTGTGTGCCACTGCCCCTGGCTATTTACAACAATATAAAATGGAAAGATTCCTGTGGATCTTCAGATTTTCTGCGTGCTCTGCTGGCACCTCCGGAAAGCACGGCACTGACTGGCTCAGGGTGCTGTTTGCTGCCGTCCCCTCTCTCTCTTGTCCCCCACTGTGCCTTCCTCATTACATCAGCATCCTGGACCCTGTAGGCAGCGAGCTCACCGTCAATCGCTGTGGTCTGCTTTACGGTAGAGAGGTAAGAGCATGGATCGCAAAGGGAGGAGGTCTGTTTGCCTCCTGGCGTGGTGAAGGAACGTGGCAAGGCATGCTTTGCTCTCTCTGCAACGCAGAGATAATCACTGTACATCTCTCACAGTGGTAGTGTGAGGCTTGAACTACTCAGTGAAGCACTTAAATCAGTCCCTGAGATCTGAGAGGTGCAAAAGAGCTATTGTTAGCACTATTTGCTCCTTTACAATACCTTTTAATATATTTGCAGTATCTTAATATCTTTTATAATGTCTTTGAGGATGAATTCTGGCAAACACTGTGTTAGTCACTTTCCCGTTGCTGTGACACAATACCAGACACACAATTTAAAAGAAGAAGGTTTATTCGGCTCACGGTTCCACTGGGTTCAGTCCCAAGGCAGAAATGCATGGTGGGAGGAGAGCGGCTCACCCCAGGGCATCCAGGATGGGGAGGGGAGGAAGGAGCAGGGAGGAGAACACAGCCTTCCGGAGCTGTCCATGAGTGACCACGCCCACCAGGCATCCTGGGGGGCCCACCAGGCGCCCCCGCCATCCAATCTTCCAAACACATGAGACTTTTGGGGGACATTATAGACCTAAACTGTAGCACTCCTTCAAATGTGGGTCAGTTTCGCTGTCAGAGAGGCACTGCGGTACCCTCAGAGCGACAGCTTGCTCCTCTTTAACGTAAAGGTAATAAAACATACTTCTTTCGCGAGGACTCTGAGTGAGTAATTGTCACTCGGGAGAGCGCGGTGCCTGACGTACTAAGATCCCAGTGCTTCCTTCCCTCACCTTCCCAGGCTTTCTCAGCCCCCGCACGGGTGGCATTTGTGGCTGACATTCTTTTTGCGGGGGCTGACGGGGCCCTGTGGGGTGTTCAGGAGCATCCGTGGCCTCTTGACCTCTAGGTTCCATTGGCAGCCGGTCCTCCGGATGTGAAAGTTAAAGGTGTCTGCGGATGTAGCCAAACGCCACACGGGGATCCACGCACTGAGAAACCCGTGTTAGGTCTCCCACAGGCACAGCTCACGGTTCCGCTGCCTCCGAGAACCCATGCGAGAGTTGGAAGGACAGCACAAGCACCTCAGAGTAGTGACCTGCTGGCCGTGGTACCAGGCAGCGAGTCCAAGATGAGCTGGTCAGTCAGTGCTCTGTAGCAGTAGGCCTTCCGGAGGTTTGTTTCTCTCTGGTTAAATCTGTTTCTGCAATCATTCTGGGTGTGATCTGGGTTTGATTCTTGTTCTCTCCCTCCTTAGCTGTGTGATCCTGTTAGTTACTTAACCTCATTTACTTTTTCCTTCTGTACCAGGGATGGAACCCAGGACCTTTGCACTGAACTTATTCCCAGCCCCTTTTTATTTTAAATTTTGAGACAGGGTCATGCTAGCTGCCCAGGCTGGGCTGTAGTTTGTGACCCTCTTGCCTGAGTCTCCCTGAATGCTGGGATTACACATGTGCAATGTCACACTCAGCAGAGTTACTTAACCTCTCTAAGCCAATTTCCTCGTTTAAAAAAATGGAGATGATGTATATCCTGCATAGGTTGGTGTGAAGACTAAGCAAAATGATGCTTGCAAAGTGCTCACACCACTACAGAGCGCGCTCTCTGCTACACGGCACTGCTGTGGGCACTGGGGACCCAGGACGGATACAACGTAATTGTGTGGCTCTTCTCCAGCCACCTTTGCTCAGTCCGTCCTGGCCCGAGGTTCCTCCGCAGTACTGGGTGGGTGTTTTTGGCTTCCGTCCTTAGGCTGGTAGAGAGAGACGGGTGTCTGCCTTCTGCATAGATTTCACCATGTCTGTTCCACCCCCACAGACTCCTGTGTCATCAGCGACCACCCCAAAATACAGATCAGGAACTCGACTTTCTGCATGACTGCCTATCCCAACTTGACCCTGGTTAACTTCACCAGCCAGGCCAACAAGACGTTCGTCAGCGGCAGCGAAGAGTACTTCAAGTAAGATCGTCAGGGCGTGTGTGACTCTGTGTGTGTGTGTGTGTGTGTGTGTGTGCGTGTGTGTTTTAAAAGGCTAAGAAAGCCAAGGAGCAGCTCATTCGCAGGCCAGAGGTGTGGAGGTTGTAGGGCTGGGTCTCTCCTTCTGCGTCCTTCTTTCTCATCTACCCGATGATCAGGAGCGAAGGCTTTTTCCTGGTTTCACTTCCAGAAGTCAGCTGCAGGAGGGTGGATGGGAACAAAGTCAGAGCTGCTGCAATTCATCATGCCGATGAGAAAGAAAGCATTTTACTTTATTTAATTAGTGTTTATCAGTGCATGTTCACAGCCCTCAACGACTCCAGGCACCAGGAGGGGTTGGTGAGTGCCTGGTACACATCTTCCTTCTTCTTACATCCCCTCCCCTCCCTCCTGGCCGCATCCCCCTCCCCCGTCCTCCCCCCTTCCTCTCTTCATCTCTGAAAAAGAAAAACATTTCACAGCTTCGATCCAGTGCTATCTCAGAGACTTCACTTTACCAGCTTGTTTTTCTCAGTTACACTTCGGAAATGAGAGGTAAAAATAAGAAAACAAACCATGGCCAAAGCTTTAGTTTAAACAAGAATGATTTATTTCCTTTCTTCTCCTACTTTACCTTAGTTTTTAAATTTTACTTTAGTTTTGTGCTTCTACATCATTGCTCTCTTTTTGTGGTGCTGGGGAGTGAAGCCAGGGTCTTCACACTGAACCCCTGGCCCTGTTTATTTTTTCTTTTAAGACAGTGTCTCACTAAGTTACTCATTTGCTCAGGCTGAGCTGAAACGCGTGATCCTCCTGCCTCAGCCTCCCAGACAGCTGGGATTACCGATGTGTGCTTATATCTGTTTTGCTGTATGTTCATGACTGAGGCTCAGGGATATGGGAAAATCCTCAGCTGTCATAAGAGTAGTTAGTAAAATTTGTGAAATTGTTTCTAAAGGGAGGGAAAAATAGAGTCTGACTGTGGGTCAGTAAAGAATATTGTCCTCCTAACCTTGAAGCCAGGAGTGGTGAACTTGGAGGTGTCCAGGGGGTTGGCAGGGGACATAAATAGTGAAGTAGAAACAGGTATGGCTGTGGGGAACAGTGGGGCTGTGCACACTGCCCGGGACGCCAGCTCTGTGCCAGGCAGAGTCGGTCACTGCCGTGGGAGCCTGTGCAGCACTGCACGGCTTCCCTGTTACCTGGCTCGCTATGTCACCTCCCCACGGAAACGCGAGTGAAATTCTTCCAATAGAGTATGGGGGCCACCAGGGCAGGCATGCAGCCGCTGACACGCTCCCACCTCTCCCCGCTGCCGGTTCCCCCGCGGTTCAGTCTCTCCCGTGGGGCTCAGGCGGTACCTGGCTGTGCCCTGAAGGTCAGAAGGGAGAGGAAAGCCGGGCGGCAGTGACTGCTGACAGCCGCAGGGCTCGAGTGGGCCACCCTGGGTTCCCCCGGGCGTTGAGACCCTGGCGCTGGCCTGGGGGACCAGGCAGAGCTGACCCCACAGTCTGTGCAAATCTACTTTTGGTGGCCTCTCCTCACCCCGGGGGGTGATTTCTAAGAAGAAATGTTCCTGGGAGCTTTCAAGGGGGACACGTGCAAATGCCTTTCTGACTCACAGGGCAGTCGAGATGGCCGAGGTGCTGTGTGACTGCTGACCAGGTGTTTCACCCATCTGGGGCCGGTTACACGGGGAAGGTCCTTTCCACCGCTTGGGAAATACAGCCCCAAGGTCTGGCCTTACAGCCACGTTGGGATCCGCTCCTGGTTCGGCCCACACAGCCCCGGAGTCCAGGCTTCTCCAAGGCTGGCACCGGAAGAGGTTCTGTCCTCACGGGGCATGACCGTCCCTGTCCTGCGAGGCGGGGTTGGGTGCCCAGGGCAGCCTCAAGGCCCCGAGCTGGAGACCAGCAGCTGGCAAGGCCAGAGCTGCGCTGCCATCCACGTCCCTGCAGCTGCAGACCTTTGGCCCCACACAGCCGGGGCTCAAGCTGGCCTTTTGTGCCGGCCCCAGAAAACTGTCCCCTCACAAACCCAGCAGCTTCAGGGACTCTTTGTCCTTGGAGCTGCCTCTTGTCCTCAGGATTGGGCTGCCCTGCTGGCCCTCAGGCCAGGCTGCATCTGCCCACAGGGACGTGGGCGAGGCCAGACTGTGACTTCTGCACTGTCATCGCCGACACCTGGGCAGCCAGCACCAACCCACTCCTTTTCTCCCTCCCTCTCTCTGCAGCACCAGGGATGGACTGAA